CACACACACACACACACACACACACACACACACACACACACACACACCTCGTCCGATACATACACATTACCCAGACAAAGAGCTGCTTTACCAAGGTCATCCCCTCATCAGCTTGCCGGCATCAAAAACAAATTGTCTTCGTGTTAACTTTGCTATAGTGCGACTAACAATCCAAGTTCCTGTTTGTAAATGACACACTTTGATTATGTCGAGATCACTTTTGAAAGGTTAGAAATGATCTTTGCCGACAAGAACCAGAGACTGATGATGTTTGCAATGATGAGCTAGAAGAACGTGAAGATAAACCCTCGTTCTTCATTAATCCAACACTTGTCCTGTTGTCATATTTTCGGAGTAATCAGTTAATTAATTAGCCCAATGATGTGTAAGAATACTTCAGTGTGTGTAATTAACAAGTTAACACACAGCAATTAGCAGCTCAATTCAAACACTGTCGGCACCTAACAGTGGCTGTGAACATGAGATGCACTCTCCTCAACCTTTTTTTTTTTTTTTTTAAGTTTACACAGACAGCTACGGTGCTAAATCCTCACTGCAAATATCAGCTCGACAGCTATAAACAAGATGAATTAGCCTGAGTAAAATGCAGCAAGGCATCCCAGAGTGGGAACTACAAAGCAAAAAGGAAAAAAAAAAAAATCTGTCCATTATTCCTCCAGCAGTTTTAAAAGTCACATGCTTGGAGCCTCCAGGGGAGAAACATGAGGTTGGGTTTCACTTGTATTTCACTCACTTAACAACAACAAGAGGCTGCAAAAAGGTTGAAGTTCTTATCTCCACACGGTCTCTGCCAACATTCAAATCTGCAGCTCTCCACACTAAACTACAAAAGCCTTTCAGGTGGGATTCCTTGAGGCAACATGTCATCAAATGCAGGTGTTTGATCCACTGCTTTAATCACTTGTATGTCCCTGGGACAAAAAAAAGAAAAAAAAAGAAGAAGTTTAGGAAGCCTCTGATCCTCTGTAATGAGGTGTACCAGCGTCTTAACATTGTGCTTAAACAAATACATGCGAAAAGGGTCAGTGATGCAGCTCGGACAGCAGATGTGAACCATAGTAATTTGTGTTTAAGAATAAAAAAAAAAAAAGGCTAAGCAGCAGCAGCGGCAAGCGGCGCGGAAGATTACACAGGATGACGTCTTTCACAACATTATTTTCCTACAAAAACTCAGTCAGAAGGGTCAAGTGTGAGGTATTAAGAGGATTTATGAGCAAATAGCCTCACTGGAAAGCACACACACACACACACACACTCTAATAATGCACTTCCTATTTTCTTTTAACCTCCACACTCCGTATGGGGTCTCGTTGCGAGCGAAAACAACACAGCCTCGGCGTCTTTTGCCGAATACCAGTGCAATGTAAAAAGGTGAAGGGAGACTAATGGCAGCGTGCAGGGGAAAACGCGGGCTATTTCGTGTCAACATTTGACAGTTACGCTAAATAATGCCCGTGCGTTTGCCCGAGTGCAGGGTACAAAACCCACCCGACCATTCCCCCATCTTCGTGGCGCAGTAAGGTGGACACACATGGCCACAATCTGGTATGCGGACCTGAAACCCGACAGTGCAGCCAGTGTAACTCTTACGAAAAAAAACTGAATTAAACGTGCAAAGCGGTGTTGCTTCTGTTAATGCGGTCTTACCTGGATGAATGGCGTCTGGTCGCAAGTTGAGAAGCCGACTTTTCTTTTTTTTTTTTTTTTTTTTTTTTTAGGCACACGTCGTCAGCGGCGGCGGCAGCGGCAGCATCATCCGCTTCGGGGAGAAATGTTTCATGGGAAGATTTTGGAGTAATTCTGATTCCACCTTATTAATCCACCGCGCGCGCTACAAAAGCGGTTTCTTTAAGAAGAAAAAAGATGGGAAGCAGCGGTCGGATAGAGAGGAGTGATTACCTCACAGGGAACTGGCTACAATGTATCATACGCGTCCTTGACTTATTAAAATACGGCCGAGCGTATTTTATTTTTTTTTCGTAAACGCCGAGTAGGTGTTCTGTCTAACTGTTTCACTGCTTTATTTTTCCCTCTCTCCCTCCCTCTCACTCTCTCTCTCTCTCTCACTCTCCCCTATTTTTGGCTGTAGTCACTCTAACTCTCTTTTTCTATCAAGGCGGGGTCTTGGGTCGTTTAAACCAATGACATAAACCAAGAAGAAGAAATAGCCCCCTCCTCCTCCTCCTCCTCCCCCTCCCTCCTCCTCCTCCTCCTACCCCCCCCCCACCCACCACTAATACACACCTTCTGCTCACTTGGTTAGCAAAAACTATGTGGTCAATTGTGAAATCTTGTGTATATCCTCAGGAATGACTTTATCCCTTTTGTTGTGTGTTTACAAATTCTTACCACTTGAACTAAATCATAGAAAATAGTACTTACCTCTATTTAGCCATGCAGATAGTTTGGGTTTCATTTGCTTTGATAGCCATCCCTTCATTTCATTTGATGGCATTTAACATTAGAAAAAAACATTACTGTTACTGTGAGTAATCCACCAAACTCTCTTTTTTTTTTAATCAACACATAGTCCCAATTAAAACAGTTTACTGTGAGGTCTGTGGATTATTTACAGTAAGTAGGACACTGCTTCTGGAGAGACTTTTTGCTGTTTTTTTTTGTAAATGTAACTTTAAAGCTGCCCTAATCAAAATGTTTGTGTGAACAATGGGTCAAAGGACAACGTGTCACTCTGCAGACAAGAATTTTATGACATAGAGAGCTGGCCGGATGACATGAAGCTATGGACGTTGTGATTACTGTGCATTTTAACCAGTGGGCCACTATGACACCACAAGTGTACCTTCTGAAGTGCCGCAGCTCTCACCAGATTTGATTTCAGGCTCAGTAGGCAGCTGTTTTCAGAAACAAAAACTACTGTACACGATCTGCCGAGCACCAAACTGCAGACAAAGTTAGTGACCAGCTGGTGAACATAAAAACACAATTATTGCGGGTTTAAGTAGCACAAACCTGTTATTTAACTTCAATGCATCAGAAAGCTCTTTTCAAAAGAGAGGTTACATGCAACTGTAAAACATACCATTTGGTAATTTGGGTGAATTGACCCAAAACCAATCCAGACGACAAAGACTTAAAAAGTATAAAAACCAGCATTGGGTGGTTTTAGACATGGATATGCCCATATTTCAAAATCTGGGCAAATAAAGAATGAAACATTTGTTGAGATACTTATGATGCTTATAATGTCCCCACTTGGAATTATGTATTTGTCAGTGCTGCTCATGTCTGCAGTGAATCTATAATTCATAGTATTCCTAACACTCAGACATTATAGGGACCTGTACGAGCCTGTCTGTTTGACCCTTATCTGACATACAATTAATGGTTTTCCTTCAAATTGATCACAGTGGGATACTGCTGGATGAAAGCTCATGAAATAATACAGTCAAGTGAGTAAGCCTTGCAGCTGTAAGTAGAGATGTGCTTACATGTGTTTGGTAAGTACACAGAACATATGTTAGGAGTTCATTTGATTCCTCTGCAGGGATTATTCTGCTAGTAGCGCGGTGGCTTCGGTGACGGCAGACAATTGGATTAAGCAATGCTAAATATAGTTTGTCTGCATTGTACATGTTGGACTAACCCATGCTCGATTGATTTGACGAAGACGATACAGCGAAGCACGTGACCTCCAGTACTTTGTGAATGCATGGGGATCCCATGACTGATATTTACTGTCCTTTTTCTTTTAGAACTTGTTGCACAAAGAACAAGCATTGATCCATGCAGGGTTTGCCTCTGATATACATATAGAAGAGTGGCCCTGCTACAGATTCATGCAAACACGGTGGCTTTAAACATTTAATTTTTCTGCTTTATTTCTGCACTTTGCGTAGTCGCTCTGTGAGGTCCAGATTGTGTCAGAAGCGCCAGTCAGGGTGCTCAGTGATTTCAATTATCTATATCAAATTTTTCATTTTTCATTTCTATATTCTGCCTGGCCTCCATATGCTCCACTATTGATCTGTCCATCAACGATTGTCCACCTCTTGTCAGAACGCTGGCTACATGTGGGGGCGTGCGGCGCATAACACAAAAAGGCAACCTCTCAGTGGGGTAATTATGCCCGAAATTAGATGTGCCGAAATTGTGGTTATGATTGTATTGATGTTTGGGGTATAATGTTTACAAAAATGAAGATTGGTGATCTCAGACACTGCTCACATTTGGAATCAGAGAAAAAGACAGCTATTTTTATTCCGATTGCCTTCAAGGCGCTGTCTTCTTTTGCGTTGCGAAAAACAGTGCACATATTGAGAAACACAAAGGCAGCTAATTTAATCTAAGTGAAGGAAAGAGAAGAAATCTCTTCCACTCCCACTGCTCATATGCTCTTTGAGAATATTCTCTTCTCTTAAGTCAGATCTGGAGTTAAATCAAGGACAGTAATTATACTTCATCAGTCTTATCATTTGTGACCAAAGAATCAGCCGTTTCACCTATTGTACTTTAAGAGCAATATTATGGTGATGAGCGTAAAGAATATGTATTTTTCATGCAAAACCATTGCTGCGTGTGCCCTGCAGTCCACATTGATTCCACCGCTGCATCAACATAAAACATCTCGGCAGTGATGGAGAGGAGCCTTGAGTATCGTAGGGATTTGTGCCATCCTATTAGAAGAGGAGGTACGGGTCCAGTGTGGCAGCGTATCAGACCTTCTCATGTTGAACTCTGATTCCGATCTCCATACTCTCAAATTCACAGGCAGAGTCTCGGCGGAGAGCTTGAGCAACACACTATCCCGATTGCGCTCTCCGGAGACACACATCTAACAATCTCCAGATAAATTATTGAAGGCACATCACCCCCGCCATGTTTCTTACATGGGCTGGAATTAGTGGCTGTTCCGGAGAAGGCTACAAGGACCATGTTGCATTAGGATTCAAGGGGAGATTTTGTTCATATTTTGATGTTTTTCTCGTGCGGCATGTGTGTGTGTAGCCAAGTCGTTTGTCAATTCCCCTCTCTGATACCTCTGTTGCTTTCCCATGCCACTCTTCTTCCACCCTGCAGACTCTTATCAAAAGGATTTCCCTTCTCATGCTCTGCTCAGGCGCTGTGCTACTTTGATGAGCTGCCTCACAGCTACCCTTTCCATTTCTTGGTAAGTTACAGCAATTTAATTTCTCTGCTTTTTTGTTGAAGTAGTAGAAAATACGGTAACATAAAATACCCCATCATTGGAGGGCACAGAGACATCTAACTGTTTTTTTTTTTGTCTTCCCCCCTTTATCCCACCAGCCCCCTGGCAACCCCCCCCCCCCCCCCTTGTTGCAGAGGTCACAATGACTTTATCTCCCCTACTCGGAGGCTGAAACAAGCCGTACACACACTCACACACACACACACACACACACACACACAGTCAACCCTGTTTTGCTAATGAGGTGGCGAGACCTCACCGTGCAGGGATAAAGAGGGGGTGAACAGCTCAGACCCCCAGTTGGTCTCCTTGAACTTGTGAAATAGGATTGACACCACACTCAAAATGAGCTCCCACCATGAAGGAACAGCAGACTGAAGCCCCCCAGGAGGCTAAGTTGAATCAATTCTCCTAATGATGTTTGTAATTTAGGAGGCTAATGACATGCACTATGAACTGGAAGATTATGTCTCGGAGATGCCTCTCAGAGTCAAGTGTTACAATAAATGCCTCAGACAATCACAAACCTACATGTGGGGACGAATATTCAAATCCGAGAGATACAATAGTGTACATGGTGGGACATTGATGCAAAGCCTGTTTGTATGACATAATGGAAAACGTTGGAAATTGTTTGTGCTAAATCCAAGTCTCAGGTCCTTAACGGCAAATCCAAATCAAATCACAAGCCTTCATTTGCAAATTTCAAGTTAGTAGTTCTGCTAATGCTGGCCATTACAATTACATTGGAGTATTATTATTCTTTAAGGGCTGTGTTCCTACTATAGGTCACATCTTTTTAAATAGCCAAGACATAGTCATTTCAATCCCGCCCAAAAATGTTGCCCTGGGATTTTAGTTTTTTGGCCACAGGAGGCAGAAAATCAAAAATCTAAAATGGAAATGACCAGCTCAGCACCAAATGGAAGATTGACACAGTCAGCAACTAGCTGGTGAACATTGTGGAGCATTTGGTAGCTAAAAGAACAGATATTTCCCTAGGGAGGTGAAGGTAACCAAAGACAGCTAAAAGAGAGAGATTCCCAATAGCTTGGCCCACATACGTGCATTCATCCAAACGTTCATGCATTCACACGCACAAACACACAACCTCACAAACACACAACCTCACAAACACACAACCTCCATACCAAATTTCCGCCTCCTCTGCGAAAATTTCTGTGTAAAGAGTTTGTCCAAGTTGAGATACCACGGTGATGTCACCCAGGTTATTTTTTCAGACAAAGTTCCCTTTGTGGCCCTTGTGGGACATTATACTCACAGTCTGAGAAGAAGTCCACATGACTAGTAAAGGACTGATCTGTTAAATCAGTGCAGTGGCCCTTTAAGTCTGACTGAAATCAACATTTTTTTGCAGGAAATTTAGGTTGCAGGTTAGTGTGAAAGCAATTAGTGTTAAAGGTTAAGAGGAGTAAATACTGTAGGGTGTAGCATGTTTTATATCCCCCCCCCCACCCTAGATTTCAGCCTAGAGTACTCTAGAGCTGCTAATTGTATTGCATTTACCCTTTTGGGTGTGCTGAAGCCTGCTTCCTGTGGGATGAGGATGTCCCTTATTGTTCTCGAAGTTAAGCGCTGTGTACGCGGTGTTGGTGGATGAGCAAGTGCACATGGGTGCGCGCACTATAGGAGGCATGGCGACGGTGCGCAGCAGGACGTGCATACGCAACATGTTGATATGATCACTCCACAGGCTGCTCGCTGTGTTTTAGACTGGTCATTAACAACCTATTTGAAGACTTTGTCAATAGGTACCAAGACAACAAGAAGCAACATCACCCCCTCCATGCTCAACTCCCTCCCCACCTCCCTACCAACCACTTGCCTTTCTTTTTCTCTCATTAATATGGAAATGAGTCGCTCATTGTTG